CCCCCAGGCTCCCAGAGCCCCAAGAACCCCAGCAATTCAGCCTACAAATCATCTCCTTTCCCAATCCTCCACTTCCAGGCTGCAACCTCCAGCCCATCCTCCCCGGGCCGGGCTGCGGAGGATGGGCTCTGTTGCAGCCTGAGGAGCTGATCGCTGCAGGGAAAGCGGGGAGGCGGAGCTGATGGGTTCCTTTCGCTTTCCCCGGGCCGGGAGGCGGGTCTCTCGTGCCTTCCCCGAGCGCTTCTGTTGCAGGAGGAGGCGGCGGCGGCGGAGGAGGCACCATGGCCGGCTTGGAGCTGCTCTACAACTCGGTGGCGCCCGAGCTGGGCTGCGGGCAGGACGCCCTGCTTTGCTTCGTGCATTGGAAGCTGATCACCCGCGACTACCGCTGCCTCGGCACCGGGGACCAGGTAAATGGCCTTCCTTCCATCCAGCCTTTGCAGGCCGAGATCCGTCCGGTGCAGCGGGCAGGCCGGAGAAACCAAAGGGCTTGCAAGGAAGAAGAAGAAGAAGAAGCGGCCCGCGGGCGCCGGGTTGCAACTCCTGCCTTTTGCAGGCTGGATCCATTCCCTTGGCTTTTTTGCAAAAAAAGGGACTCCCCCCACTCCCCGCGCGCCCCTTTTTTCTGCTTTTGGGGGGAGGGAGGGAGGGGGAGGGAGACTGAACGGGGTGGAAAGTTTTGGGGAGAGGAAAGTATTGAGTAGAGGGGAAGTGCATTGTTTTGCAATTTGTTTCTTTAAAAAAAAAATAATAATCAAAAGAATTCATATCTTCCTTTGTAATGAATGTTTCTTTTTTTAATTTGTGCAATGTGCATTATGCAATTATGCACTATGTGCATTATGCAATTATGCACTATGTGCATTATGCAATTATGCACGATGTGCATAATGGTGCATGATGCACTGGATTTGTCGTTTGTGAATAAGTGCATGGGGAGCATGAAGGTTTAATTAATTAATCAATCAATCAATCAATCCGGTTCCCAAGACTTTTAAGTCTTAAAATGATAGATTGATGAGGTTAAGGGACCCCCCCCCCCCAACTTGCTCAGGAACTCAAAAGATTTGAGTTGTTGTTTCTCAGGGGTGGCGACTTTAAAAGGGAGCCGGACTTCAGCTCCCAGAATGCATTGCTGGCTGTGGGACGCTGGGAGTTGAAGTCCACACCTAGTGGCCGAGGTTGGAAAAACCTGATTCTTAAAAAAAATGGTTTTTCAATCTAGGCTGCTTTTAAACATGACTGGACTTCCATTCCCAGAAGGCATTGCTGGCGGAGGGATTCTGGGAGTTGAAGTCCACAGAGTGGGGAGTTTTAAAAAGCCCTGATTGGAAGTTTCTCGGCTTTAAGATGTCTGGACTTCAACTCCCAGAATTCCCCAGCCAGCAATGCTGGCTGGGGAATTCTGGGAGTTGAAGTCCAGATATTTTAAAGTGACAAAGACAGGGTGGATTTGATTTAAATCGAGTTGATTTAAATCACAATTTAAATCATGATTTAAATCACTAGTAGAAAGGCTTGATTTAAATCAACTCGATTTAAATCATAATTTTGAAAGAGCAACTGTCATCTCTGCTACTCCTTTGACCCACTGTTGACTCACCGATAGTCCCAGTGTTGCAGAATATACGGCCTCCTGCTACATAACTCAGCTCTGTTTCATGCGGAATAAACTAAATTATTGATGTATCTTAAACAGAAAACTACCTTACGATAGATTTTTACCCCAAAAGTTTTTTATTAAAATAAATTCGATAAAAATCAAAAAAATCTGATTTAAATCAAAAAAATCCGATTTTAATCAAAAAAAATCTGATTTTTTTTTTATTTTTAAAAAAAAATCATTGATTTTTATCCACCCTGGGGTGAAATATAAAAAAACAGCTTTATATACATAAAGTATATACATAAAGTATATAAAAAATGATTTTATAGACATAAAATCTATATAAACATCGCACAAAGTTTTCTAAAAGGTAATCCGCCTGAAAGAAAATTTACAGGACTGCAAAAAAAAAAAAAAAAAAATTCATAACAGGTTCTATTTTTGGAGAGCAGGGACCCCAGATTTTTAGAGGTCACCACTAAGCAGGAGTGCCTTGATTTCTTATGGGGGACAAAACCCTAAGCAACATTTCTCTGCGTGCTATTAATCAGAATAGAGCTGGAAGGAACCCTGGAGGTCTTCTAGTCCAGCCCCTTGAAATATCCATTTCAGACAAATGACTGCCCAGTCTTTTCTTAAAAACCTCCAGCGACAATTTCCGGTGGCAAGCAGTTCCACGGGTTAATTGTCCTCACTGCTAGGAAGTTTCTCCTTAATTCCAGGTTGCTTCTCTCCTTGATGAGTTTCCATCCGTTGTTTCTTGACTTAGCTTCTGGACTGATGCTTTGGAAAATAAGTTGACCTCCTCTTCTTTGGGGCAGCCCCTTAAATACTGGGATACTGCTATCATGTGTGTCCCCCCCGGTCCTTCTTTTCCCTAGACTAGCTAAACCCAATTCCTGCAACCGTTCTTCATATGTAATCCGTTCTTAATATAGAAAAAGGGGAGAATTAACCTGGAAGCAACCAGGAGAAATTTCCTGACAGTGAGGACAATTAACCGGTGGAACACCTTGCCACCAGAAGTTGTGGCCGCTCCATCACTGGAGGTTTTCAAGAAGAGATTGGACAACCATTTGTCTGAAGTGGTATAGGAACTCCTGCTTGAGCAGGGGGCTGGACTAGATGACCTCCAAGGTCCCTTCCAACTCTGCTATTCTATTCTATTCCTTATTGTATCTTGTTCTGTTCTGTTCTATTCTATTCTATTATTTCTCATTCTATTCTATTCTATTCCTTATTCTATTCTATTCCTTATTCTATCATATTCTATCTTATTCTATTCCTATTTCTATTCCTATTCCTATTCTATATTCTATATTCTATTCCATTCCATTATTCTATTCTATTCTATTATTTCTTATTCTATTCTATTCTATTCCTTATTCTATTCTATTCCTTATTCTATCATATTCTATCTTATTCTATTCCATTCCTATTCCTATTCTATATTCTATTCCATTCCATTATTCTATTCTATTCTATTCTATTCTATTCTATTCTATTCTTCTATTCTATTATATTCCTTATTCTATCTTATTCCATTCTATCCTATTCCTATTCTATATTCTATTCCATTCCATTATTCTATTCTATTCTATTCTATTCTATTCTATTCTATTCTATTCTATTCTATTCTATTCTATTCTTTATTATTCTATTCTATTATATTATATTCCTTATTCTATTTTATTCCATTCTATTCCATTCCTATTCCTATTCCTACTCTATATTCTATTCCATTCCATTCCATTCTTCTGTTCTGTTCTGTTCTATTCTATTCTATTCTATTCTATTATATTCTATTATATTCTACGTTTAGTCTTAAAAAATGACAGAATTCTGCACAGGGCAGCCAATGTTAAAAAAAAACTTTTGCAGCCTCAATTGTTTTTATTGGGCATAGTTAAGGGCTTTTCAGTGGGTGAAACAAAATTGATATTGTATATGGTGACAGCAGCCAGGTTATTGATTGGTCAATATTGGAAAAGGGATGATATGCCTACTATTGAAGAATGGACTTTGAAGGTGGCCAGTTTTGCAGAAATGGCGAAGATATCAGCATATTTAAAAGACCGGACTCGGGAGACTTATGCATGGGAGTGGAAGAAATGGATAGATTATGTGCAGAATAAATATCAAACTAGGAAGTACCAGATAGCTTTTAGCTGAATGTTGTGTAGAAATGTATAGTATATAGGGGGGCAATGTAGCTTATTGTTATGTAGAAATGTATGGTGCACAGGGGGGAGAACAGAGGGGTGGTAAACTATGTTATAATACAATGGGGACGGATTTCACCTTGGGGAAGTCATGGGAGGAGGGGAGGGATGGGGGGGGGAAATGGGGAAAAATTGGTATTTGTAAAACTTTTTCAATAATAAAAAAAAAACTTTTGCAGCAGCCTGAGAAAATTAAGGGGACCCCCTTGCTTCTTCCAGGGGGGCGGGGGGGAGGGAAGCTGAGGGTGTTTGAGTGGCAGCTTGGAGGACTAGCGGAGGCAAGGTGAGTCTGCCCAAACAGGTTTGAGGCTGGCCTGGTGCCCCAAATCAGTGACGCGGACCCTTTGCTAACAAGGCTAATTTTGAGTGCTTTCAGTACGCCTTGCGCATTAATTGGAAGGATATAGGTAGTCCTCGATTTACGACCGCAGTGGAGCCCAAAATGTATGTTGCTGAGTGAGACATTCATTAAGTGAGTTTTGCCCCATTTTACGACTTTTCTTGCCATAGTGGTTAAGCGAATCATTGCAGTTGTAAAGTTGTTAAGTGAATCTGAGTTTCCCCGTTGGCTTTGCTGGTCAGGAGGTCGGTAAAAGGAGATCACGTTGTAAACTTTGAATGGTCACTAAATGAGCTCTTGTAAGTCGAGGACTGCCTGTATGTAGGGATTCAGGACAGAAATTAAAGATAAAATAGAAAAAAAGGGGCATTTAAACTCAGAGCTCTGTGGGGTAGGTGACATCAGATCCCTGTCCTGGATTGTTCATTTCTATTTTATTTTATTTTATTTTATTTTATTTTATTTTATTTTATTTTATTTTATTATTTTATTTATTTTATTTTATTTTATTTTATTATTTTATTTTATATTTTATTATTTATTTTATTTTATTTTTTTATTTTATTTTATTATACTTTATTTCATTTTATTTATTTATTTTATTTATTTTATTTTAGTTTATTTGTTTAGTTTAGTTTAGTTTTTTTAGTTTTTTATTTATTTTATTAACATTTTTACTTTATTGTATACATTTTATTGTATATATTTTATTTTACTGTATATATATATATTATCTTGTATATTATTTTATTTTAATAATTTTAGTTTATACATTATTTTATTTACTTTTAATTATTTCATTTCATTTATTTTATTTTTCATATAAACTGTTATCTACCGTTGTTAAACAACAGAGAGCAAACACCACTTCCTTTTAGCACTGATGACATTACCTAGTTGGGTCATGAAACGTCTGCAAGAAAACAACCAAACTCAGAGAGCTCCATGGACCCCAAAACCATCATCATCATCATCATCATCCTTCTCTTCCTCTCTTCCTCTTCTCCTCTGCTCCACTCCACACACCCTACTCCCTTTTAGCACTGATGATGTTACCTAGTTGGGTCATGAAACGTCCCCAAGAAAACAGCCAAGCTCAGAGACCACCAAAGACCCCACATTTTAACTGTACCCCCTTCCTGGGTTCTTCCCACAGGCGGCCACCAACGAGAGGAAGTCGGAAATGCTTCCTGCAGGCTGGAACGCGGACAAGGAACTCTACACTCTGCGCTACCGACTGAAGGACGATTCCCACGACCTGCTGGTGAAGGCCATTTTGATGGACAACAGCATCATTCTCAACGTCATGGTGAGGCTGCTTTTGGGGGGGCCACCGATTTGGGCACCCCTAAAGGAGAAGAAAAGTTTGTATTTAATTCTTCTCCCGAAGGATGGAGATGTAAACCCAGAGCAGTCAAAGTCTTATGGACTAGTCATTGCCTGCCGTAAAGGTTTTGGTCTCTTTCGAACCCAGAGCAGAAGCTGGAAGGGGAAGAGTCATAGGTCTGGGAGTACCCCCTGCCTGGTCACCCCGTTGTTCTCTCAAAGTCCAGTAAACAGTTTGGGTTCAGCTTCTAGCCCTGTGTGCCTAAACCTTGACAACTTTAAAAATAATAAAATTTCATTTCATTTCATTTGTAAGGTTTCGATGTCATCTCAAATAAATTGCACTCCCAAACAATTAATCTTTGCTGAAATATTCCATTTATTGAGTACGACAGATCTGGCCCCGACTTCGTCGTAGCCGATACTAACCCTCTGACCCCCAAACCCTTCCCTTTCCGTTCCCCAATTCTCATCTTCTCATTGGCCATCTTCCAAGTCAGTCTCCCCAGCTTCTGACCTCAGCCCACAGGAATGTTCCCCCCTCCCATCCCATCTCCTAGGGGATATTATCTACAGAGAAAATAAGTAGGTGAAAAGTCAAGCCTCGTCTTTTTATGGCAGCATCAGAATGCTGACATCAGTTCATTTATTAATTAAAATAAAATAACAAGTTAACAGAGTTGGAAGGGATCTTGTAGGTCATCTAATCTAACCCACTGCCCAAGGAGGAGACCCTGTACTGTTTCTGACAGATGGCAGTCCAGTCTCTTCTTGAAAGCCTCCAGTGATGAAGCTCCCACAACTTCTGAAGGAAACTTCCATCGGTTGATTGTTCTCACTGTCAGAAAATTCCTCCTTATTTCCAGGTTGAATCTCTCCTTGTTCAGTTTCCATCCATTGTTCCTTGTCTGACCTTCAGGTGCCTTGGAAAATAGCTTGACCCCCTTCCTCCTCTCCAATATTGGAAGATGCTCTCCTGTCTCCCCTGGTCCTTCTCTTCACTAGACTAGCCAGGCCCAGTTCCTGCAACCGTTCATCGTATGTTTTAGCCTCCAGTCCCCTCATCATCCTGGTTGCTCTTCTCTGCACTTTTTCTAGAGTCTCAACATCTTTTTTATAGTGTGGGGACCAAAACTGGATGCAATATTTTAGGTGTGGATGAGCTGGTGGACTTCAACTCCCAGAATTCTCCAGCAGGGCTAGGTGGAGAATTCTGGGAGTTGAAATCCACCCATCTTAAAATTCTCAAAGTTGAGAGATGTTGTTATCTATCCAATCGAGGGTAGAGTTTGGTGCAATGGACAGTTTTGATAAGTGATCCTAACATACATCATGGGTTATGATGACCAACCCTCCTCTGTTATTTCAGAAAGTTGTATTTGGGATTTGTTTGTTTTTTGAGAAGTCCCCTTTGTCTTTTAATTTGGGACCTTTTTAACCGCAAAAAAAATGGTACCCACAACTTCTGGAGGCAAGTTGTTCCACTGATGAATTGTTCTCACTGTCAGGAAATTTCTCCCTAGTTCAAGATTGGATCTCTCCTTGTTAAGTTTCCATCTGATATTTCTTGTCCTGCTCTCTGGTGCTTCGGAGAACAGAACAGAATACTGGAGTTGGAAGGGATCTCAGAGGTCTTCTAGTCCAACCTTATGCTCAAACAGGAGACCCTATACTATTTCGTACAAATGGTTATCCAATCTCTTCTTAAAAACCTCCAGCAAAGGAGCAACCACAGTTTCTGGAGGCAAGTCGTTCCACTGATTAAATGTTCTCACCATAAATATCACATTCTCTGTTAGTTATAACTTTGCAAAGCTTTCAAGTTGCCATGAGCAAGAGGGAGGGAGAACTGAAGTGCATTCCATACATTCTTTCTGACCGCAGTCAGAAGGAGGGTGTTAGGTTTCACAGCCAGCCAAAGTGGTTAATTGGAGAATGTGATTTATGACATGGCCAGAGAGGAGGGGAGAGACAGGGTCATAGGGGAACGTAAATCTACGTAGGATCAGTCCTAACTGCATCCCAGTATTGCCGGAATGGTGCTCCTAATAAATGAATATATTTCCTTTGAAGTTTGGATCATGGCTCATGAATTAATTAGGGCATCTTTCGGAAACTTGACATGCGCCCTATAATAGTTATAATAGTTTCTTCTACTCTCACAATTGTGGCGGGGGAGGGGGCTACATTAGGCACACCAACTCAGGAGTCTAGATTGATCTCATGTACTTCCGGGTTAACCCCCCACCGACCCACTCACCCCACAAGCACCTGATTACACTGTTAATCCAATAGAGCTGGAAGGGACCTTAGAGGTCTTCTAGTCCAACCCCCTGCTCAAGCAGGCGATCCTATACCATTTCAGACAAATGGCTGTCCAGTGTCTTCTTGAAAGCCTCCAGTGATGGAGCAGCCACAACTTCTGAAGGCAACTTCTCTTCCACTGGTTAATTGTCGTCACCCTTAGGAAGTTTCACTGTTAGACGCCTGTGTAGGTGTCTAACAGTAATTCTCAATCCTCCAGGTGATGGTTGGAGATTCTCAACCCTCTAGGTGATGGTTGACCCAAAGGTTCTTTTTCCAAAAGACAAGTGAACAAGTGAATATAAAAAAAAGATGTTGAGACTCTAGAAAGAGTGCAGAGAAGAGCAACCAGGATGATTGTGTTCTGTTCCCATCTCACACACACACACAAACAGACAGCTGGGGGTTAAATAAACTGGCAGACAACCAATTCTTCCGATAAGACGCTTGGCAGCAACCCAGTAGCTGCTTGCCAAGAACTTTTACTCAATAAACAAAATACCCACAGTCAAGAATTATCCAGTTCGTAAAATAAATCCAAGGCCGATAATGTTGTTTCCAAAGATGCAATGTGACTCGATAGTAGTTAGTTTTGTCCGTCACAGAGTCTGAATGGCCACCTCACCCCCTTTTATATCCTGTGGGGTGTGGTCCAGTGACTCAGCCTAATCTCGGGCACGCCTTTTCTTCTGTTGCGCGCGCTTATCTCTGCGACACTGGTGTGGATCCAGCCAAGACTCATTATTCTCATCACTGTCCACCTGTGGCTGCGTGGACGTGCTTGGCCCTGGCCCTATCTCTTGCCCTTCGGCGGACACCGAAGGCATTGCCAGAGAGGAGGGTCCTGGAGAGGGAGGCCTTGCCAACTCCTCTCCTTCACTCTCGGAGTCCTCTCCTGCCGATGACACAGGCTCAGGTAACGGAGCCACAACAGATTGGGGGACTGGAGGCTAAAACATAGGATGAACGGTTGCAGGAACTGGGCCTGGCTGGTCTAGTGAAGAGAAGGACCAGGGGAGACAGGAGAGCATCTTCCAATATTGGAGGGGCTGCCCCAGAGAGGAGGAGGGGGTCAAGCTATTTTCCAAAGCACCCGAAGGCCAGACAAGAAATAATGGACGGAAACTGACCAAGGAGAGATTCAACCTGGAAATAAGGAGGAATTTCCTGACAGTGAGAACAATCAACCCATGGAACAGAAGTTGCCTTCGGAAGTTGTGGGAGCTTCATCACTGGAGGCGTTCAAGAAGAGATTGAAAGAGATTTGTCAGAAACGATGTAGGGTTTCCTGCTTGAGTGGGGGGGGAGGGTGGCATTGGACTAGATGACCTCCAAGTTCCCTTCCAATTCTGTTATTTCCGAAAGCACCTGGGGGCAGGACAAGAAGCAATGGGTGGAAACTCATCAAGGAGAGGAGCATCTTGGAATTAAGGAGAAATTTCCAGTGAGAATATTTAATCAGCGGAACAACTTGCCACCAGAATTTGTGGTTGCTCCAACACTGGAGGTTTTGAAGAAGAGATTGGACAACCATTTGTCTGAAGTGGTGTAGGGTTTCCTGCCTAAGAGGGGGTTGGACTAGAAGACCTCCAAGGTCCCTTCCGACTCTGTTATTCTGTTCTTCATCCAACGAACCTCTTCAGTTGTTCTCTTGGATGAGAAGCAAAACGTTTTCAAAGAAAAAATGGAAACCAAGGAAGACTTTTTGGGAAAAGCACTTTTAGGGCATCCTACGGAGTTCGGCTTCATCCTTTTCTATTCTGTTTCCTCCTTTCTCCATCCAGGATCCCAAAACACAGAAAGTGGCAGATCTGACTTTGAAAGTGACCGACTTCGTTGATCCAGAACACCTGGCAGATTTTGACAAGTAATTGAAGTTCTTTCCACATATTTAAGGAGGGGTTCCAGAAAATGTTGGGTTGCCATAAAATGGGGGCCCTTCGCACAGAGGTGCATGGGTTGCTGGGATCTGTACAGCGTAAGCCTTGAATTTATTAATGTTTATGTATTGATCGATATCCCACCTTTTATTGGTGGGATATCGATCGGTGCCTTCCGCCGTGCCCTTAAAACTTTCTTTTTTCAGCAAGCCGGGCTGGCTTAACATATTTTTTTCAATATTTTTTAATTTTTAATTGGTTTGTTATCTTAAATTAATATATATCCTTTTAATTGTTTTTAATGTTTGTATTGTATGTTTTTTATCTGGCTGTACACCGCCCTGAGTCCCTCGGGAGAAGGTGCGGTATAGAAATTCGAGATAAAATAAAATAAAAATTATTATTTTTATAAATGACTCAAAGCAGCGAACATACCTAGTAATCCTTCCTCCTCCTATTTTCCCTGCAACAACAGCCCTGTGAAGTGGGTTGGGCTGAGATACCGAATGACTGGCCCAAAGTCACCCAGACGGCTTTAATGCCTAAGGTGGGACTAGAACTCACGGTCTCCTGGTGATTGGCTCAAGTTCACCCAGATGGCTTTCATATTTATGTCAGGACTAGAACTCTCTGTCACCTGGTGATGGCCCAAAGTCACCCAGACGGCTTTCATATTTATGTCAGGACTAGAACTCTCTGTCACCTGGTGATCGGCCCAAAGTCACCCAGATGGCTTTCATGTTTATGTCAGGACTAGAACTCACTGTCTTCTGGTGATCAGCCCAAAGTCACCCAGATGGCTTTCATGTTTATGTCAGGACTAGAACTCACTGTCTCCTGGTGATCAGCCCAAAGTCACCCAGATGGCTTTCATGTTTATGTCAGGACTAGAATTCACTGTCTCCTGGTGATTGGCTCAAGTTCACCCAGATGGCTTTCATATTTATGTCAGGACTAGAACTCTCTGTCTCCTGGTGATCGGCCCAAAGTCACCCAGATGGCTTTCATGTTTATGTCAGGACTAGAACTCACTGTCTCCTGGTGATCGGCCCAAAGTCACCCGGATGGCTTTCATGTTTATGTTAGAACTAGAACTCACTGTCTCCTGGTGATCAGCCCAAAGTCACCCAGATGGCTTTCATGTTTATGTCAGGACTAGAATTCACTGTCTCCTGGTGATTGGCTCAAGTTCACCCAGATGGCTTTCATATTTATGTCAGGACTAGAACTCTCTGTCTCCTGGTGATCGGCCCAAAGTCACCCAGATGACTTTCATATTTATGTCAGGACTAGAACTCACTGTCTCCTGGTGATCAGCCCAAAGTCACCTAAATGGCTTTCATGTTTATGTCAGGACTAGAACTCACTGTCTCCTGGTGATCGGCCCAAAGTCACCCAGATGACTTTCATGTTTATGTTAGAACTAGAACTCACTGTCTCCTGGTGATCAGCCCAAAGTCACCCGGATGGCTTTCATGTTTATGTTAGAACTAGAACTCACCGGTCTCCTGGTGATCGGCCCAAAGTCACCTAAATGGCTTTCATGTTTATGTCAGGACTAGAACTCACTGTCTCCTGGTGATCGGCCCAAAGTCACCCAGATGGCTTTCATGTTTATGTTGGGACTAGAACTCACTGTCTCCTGGTGATCGGCCCAAAGTCACCCGGATGGCTTTCATGTTTATGTTAGAACTAGAACTCACTGTCTCCTGGTGATCAGCCCCAAAGTCACCTAAATGGCTTTCATGTTTATGTCAGGACTAGAACTCTCTGTCTCCTGGTGATCGGCCCAAAGTCACCCACATTTGTTAAGTGAATTTTGTCCCATTTTAAGACCTTTCTTGCCACAGCTGTTAAGTGAATCACAACAGTTGTTAAATGAGTAACAGCGTTGTTAAATGAATCTCCGCCCTGAGTCTCCGGAGAGGGGCGGCATATAAATTTAATAAATAAATAAAATCTGGCTTCCCCATGGACCTGGTTTGTCAGAAGGTCACACAAAGAGATCACGTGACCCCTGCCCCCAGGACACTGCAACCGTCGTAAATGCGAGTCAGCTGCCAAGCGTCCGAATTTTGATCAGGTGACCATGGGGAAGGGGCAATGGTCATGTGAAAAACAGTCCTAAGTTCCTTTTTTCATTGACGTCGTAACTTTGAACTATCATTAAGTGAATGGTCATAAGTCGAGGACTACATGTTTCCAGGTGTCCAATGACTGTTTTTTTTTTCTTGCCCCTTTTTACAGGGTATATCGGAACGTGGAGGAGTTACAGACCCAGCTCGTCCATCACATACTCTCCCCGTTTGAAACCTCAAAGCGGCCAACCAGCGCCAAGGAGGAAGAGCCCAAACGGGAGAGGAACCCTTCCCCCCCCAACCCTCCCGACCACGACCCTCTCTGGATCCCACCTCGGCATCCTCATGGCAGCCGGCAGCCCAACTGGTGAGTGCCTTGGGCTTTGGTGAGCTGACCGCACCTGGTTTGTGGATCTGGGGACCTCACTGAGGACTAGAATGATGGAACGCACACAAAAGTGCCCAGGAGACAGAGGTGGTATTCAGCCGGTTCGCCCGAACCATTGGCGGAAATTTGGCCAAGGTTCCCGAACCAGTGGTGATGGCAGGCTGGCCACGCCCTGAACTGGTCCCCCCCCCTGTCGCCGCTCGCTCACCCTGCCCGCCATGTTCGTCGCCGCCATGTTCTTCATGCACGCGCATCCCATTGCCTTGCAAGTCCAATGGGATGCACATGTGCGAATAAAATGGCAGCGACGGTAGCTTTTTCCGCGACCTCCGGTACCTTTTGGCGGCCAGCTGCCATCTCTTTGAGAGCCACTATGCGGCTGCGGTGGCTGGCTGGGGGCCGCCAAAAACTCCAGTCAGCTTGCCTTCCAGACTCTGTACCAGCTACCGCGGAAGGGGAGCAGCCCGAATAAAGAGGCGGTGGGGGGGGGAGGAAGCGGGGCTAGGACTGTGGCCGCTAAAGGAGAGGAAACAGGGGCAACAGGCGAAGGGGGGGCAGGGGTAGATAGGTGGAAATTCCAAAATCTTTCCTACCTTTTCCTGTGGGCGTGGCTAAGTGGGGGAGGGTCATGTGACTGAGTGGGCGTGAGTGATGTCAAAGCCGCCCCGCCTCCTCAGCCACCCCCCCCCCCCCACCTAGCCACACCCACCAAACCGTTAGCGGAAATTTTTGAAACCCACCACTGCCAGGAGGATCCCCGTTTCACGTTTTCCAGGGTTCCGTAGATCCGTTGTCTGATACTGTCGTGAAAATGTTTCAGGCCAGATCCCCTCGATCCGTTCAATATTGGCAGACAAGATCTGGATCCTTTGGCGTAAGTATTTCGAGGGTTGTCTTTTTACAATTCATCCAGTTGTTTCTCAACCTTAGCGACTTTTAAGAAGGGTGGACTTCTTAATTCCCAGGATGCCCCAGGTAGCTAGAAGCTTCCTTAGGCAGATGATCTCCCATCACTCGTCCAGATCTGAATTTTTTAATTTTATTGATTAGATTCTCATTTCTCGTCTTTATTGCTTCATAGATAACTCGAGACGGTGAACACACCTAATACTCTTTCTTTGTCCTATTTTCCCCACAACAACCACCTTGTGAGGTGGGTTGGGCTGAGAGAGAATGATTGGCCCCAAAGTCACCGGGATGTCTTTCATGTCTAAGACAGGACTAGAACTCCCAGTCTCCCAGTGATTGGCCCAAAGTCACCCAGATGGCTTTCATGTCTTAAGACATGACTGCAACTCACTGTCTCCCGGTGATTGGCCCAAAGTCACCCAGGCTGCTTTCCTGCATAAGGTTAGACTAGAACTCCCAGTCTCCCAGTGATTGGCCCAAAGTCATCCAGCCAGCTTTCCTGCATAAGGCAGGACTAGAATTCCCAGTCTCCCATTGATTGTCCCAAACTCACCCAGCCGTCTTTCATGTCTAAGACAGGACTAGAACTCCCAGTCTTCCGGTGATTGGCCCAAAGTCACCCAGCCAGCTTTCATGTCTCAGACAGGACTAGAACTCCCAGTGTTCCGGTGATTGGCCCAAAGTCACCCAGCAAGTTTCCTGCATAAGGCAGGACTAGAACTCCCAGTCTCCTGGTGCTTGGTCCAGAGTCACCCAGCCGTCTTTCATGTCTAAGACAGGACTAGAACTCCCAGTCTCCTGGTGATTGGCCCAAAGTCACCCAGCTGACTTTTATGTCTTAAGACATGACTGCAACTCCCTGTCTCCTGGCGATTGGCCCAAAGTCACCCAGGCAGCTTTCATGTCTCAGACAGGACTAGAACTCCCAGACTTTCAGTGATTGGCCCAAAGTCACCCAGCCAGCTTTCCTGCATAAGGCAGGACTAGAACTCCCAGTCTCCTGGTGATTGGTCCAAAGTCACCCAGCCGTCTTTCATGTCTAAGACAGGACTAGAACTCCCAGTCTCCTGGTGATTGGCCCAAACTCACCCAGCTGGCTTTTCTGTGTAAAATAGGACTAGAACTCCCAGTCTTCCGGTGATTGGCCCAAAGTCACCCAGCCAGCTTTCATGTCTCAGACAGAACTAGAACTCCCAGTGTTCCGGTGATTGGCCCAAAGTCACCCAGCCAAGTTTCCTGCATAAGGCAGGACTAGAACTCCTAGTCTCCTGGTGATTGGCCCAAAGTCACCCAGCCGGCTTTCATGTCTAAGACAGGACTAGAACTCCCAGTCTTCCAGTGATTGGCCCAAAGTCACCCAGCTGGCTTTTATGTCTTAAGACATGACTGCAACTCCCTGTCTCCTGGCGATTGGCCCAAAGTCACCCAGGCAGCTTTCATGTCTCAGACAGGACTAGAACTCCCAGTCTTTCAGTGATTGGCCCAAAGTCACCCAGCCGGCTTTCATATCTAAGACAGGACTAGAACTCCCAATCTCCCGGTGATTGGCCCAAACTCACCCAGCTGGCTTTTCTGTGTATGATAGGACTAGAACTCACTATCTCCTAGTTTCTAACCTGGTGCATTAGCCAGTAGAGCAAAGTAACTCTTAATTCACGTTCGATTCTCTTATCTCAGAGGCCGAGGTGGAGGAATGATCTTTGATCCACTTCGATCAGGATTTCGGAATCCTATCCTGGACCCCTCTTCTGGGCTCCCCAGCAGACTCCCCCCTGGTTCCGTTCCTCCAGGGGCCAGGTTTGATCCATTTGGACCCCCGGGGGCCAACCGGCCAGGTAAGTATTGCAGAAATTCTGTCGCATTCAATGGCTGAAAAAATGGCATTTTCAAACTGTGTCCCTTCTGTGTTTGTTGAGAACCTACAGCACTTTGACGCTAAACTGAAAATGGTCCCTAAACGAGTAGTAACTTGAAAAGGTCACTAACCAATCGGTGGCAAGTCGAGGAGTTACCTAATCTAAATTTTATCTTAAATTTAGGAATGTGCCCATGAGAATGAAAAAAAAAATTCAAGTAGTCCTTGACTTACAACTGTTCATTTAGTGACCATTTAAGGATACAACGGCACTGAAAAAAAGTGACTTATGGCCGTTTTTTCACACTTAACGACCGTTGCAGCCTCCCTGTGGTCACCTGATCAAAATTCACACTCTTGGCAACTGACTCGTACTTATGACAGTCGCAGAGTCCCGGGGTCACGTGATTCCCTTTTGTGACCTTCTGGCAAGCAAAACCCGTGGGGGAAGCCCGATTCGCTTAATGACCTTGTGACGAATTTAACCACTGCAGTGATTCACTTAACAACCGTGGCAAGAAAGGGTCGTAAAATGGGTCAAAACTCACTTCTTAAAACCTGTCTCGCTTAGCAACAGAAATTCTGGGCTCCATTGTGGTCGTAAGTGAAGGGCTGCCTGTATTAACGTTTTACCTCGGGTGCCGTAATTTATGCGCAGAGTATGTGCCACAATTTAATCTTAGCCTCGGTTTAATTTTTACGGATTCTGTTAGTTTTGCGGCTTAGCATGTTTCAACCCAGCTCATCCAGATGGCCTGAGATTAGCTGCGTAACTGAGTTAAGCATCTTACGTAAACACAACTGCAGGATTTTATTCTAGGATTATGTCTTTATCTGACAGCATTTCCCTCCTGCCCCCCATCAACCATCTCTGGGCTAAACCATCAATAAAAAAATAATAAAACCCCAAACTTCCTTAAACCATATTGAAGAGCATAATTCACTTGGCGTTCGCTAGGAGTGGGAAAAATAAATTCGTAAAGACCTTGAAAATTTTGACCATATCAGTCAAAGGCCCTTGTCCGTATCTGGAAAGCCAAAATCCTAAAAACATGTTTAAAAACATGTTTTGAAGTCAAAAGAAGCCAAAGAATGTTAAAAAGTAAAACAAGATCCAATTGTAACAGTAAAATGTTTTTATTTATTTATTTATTTATTTAAATTTGATTTATATGCCACCCTTTTCCGGAGACTCAGGGCGGCTTACAATGCGTTAAGCAATAGCCTTCATCCTTTTTGTATATTTATACAAAGTCAGCTTATTGCCCCCACAATCTGGGTCCTCATTTTACCCACCTTAGAAAGGATGGAAGGCTGAGTCAACCTTGAGCCTTGGCGAGATTCGAACCTGCAGTAATTGCAGGCAGCTGGTCTTAATAACCAGCTTAATAACAGGGTGCCTTAGACCACTGTACTACCAAGACATAAAGATATTTTATGTCTTCATCCAGTTTCTAGCGGCCCATCTCGTCAAAATAAAGCAAGCCAAAGAAATATTCTAAAAACAAGCAAAATGAAAAAAAAATAAATTTTAAAGGCCAAAAGTACATGTTTCTGAACCAATCCAGAGCCGGTTGCCAAAATGGGTGGCTATAGAAATCAAATAAATATATAAGCAAACAACTAATTGTGAGTAATTGTGGTGCTCTCTGAGTTTGGTTGTTGGCTTGCAAACTTTTCATTACCAAGCTAGGTAACATCATCAGTGCTAGAAGGGAGTGGGGATTGTGGAGATGAAGAGGAGAACTGTTGGGTCCTTGGTGCACTTTAAGCTTGTTTGTTTTCTTGCTGACATTTCATGACCCAACTATGGAACATCATCAGTGCTATCTAGAAGGGAATGAATTGCTCACTGTTTATATCAACAGCACTGATGATATTCTCTAGACGGGTCATGAAACGTCTGCAAGAAAACCTCCAAGCTCAGAGAGCACCAAGAATCCCATCGTTCAACCCTGAGCTACACGGATTCACTTCTAAAGTACAATGTTTATTGTCTTCTGGATTTGCCATACAAGGTTACTTTTGGGGCAGTGGTGAAATCCAATTTTTTTTTACTACCGGTTTCTGTGGGCGTGTGTTCTGTCCCCCTTCCCCACACAGGCAAACACACCACCAGGCGCGCCTGCCAAGATTTTATTAAGCAATCAGACTAGAAACCCTTGCAGATAAAGAGTTTTGGCAGTAAACTGCGAAATGCCTGCCAAGTCAGTTTTCACTCACAGTCAGCAAGAAAGAGTTTATCCTCAGTCCGGTTCAGTAGCAAAAAGTAATCCACGAAGCAAGAGTTAGCCAAGGTCCAATCCAAAATATGCACAAGCCAGATTTCAGGTAACGCGATGGGACTCTCAGGTTTTTAACTTTGACCGTCACAAGGCCCGAAGAGCAATCCCACCCGCTTTTATTCCTGGTGGGGTGTGGCTCAGTGACTCAGCTCAATCTCTGGCCCTCCCACGCCTCTTCCGTTGCTGCGCACGCTTCTCCCTCCGACGCTGCCTGGGATCAAGCCAGGATTCATCATCCTCGCTCCCTATCAATTGGTGCTCCGAAATGCCTTCCTCCTGGCACATCCCAGGCTGTTCCTCCTGGCCTTTGGAGGGAACCTGAGGCATTGCCAGAGAGGAGGGTCCCGGAGAGGGAGGCCTTATCAGTTCCTCCCCATCACCTTCTGAGTCCTCTTCCTCTGTTAGGACAGGCTCGGGAGTCGGGGTCACAACAGCGTGGCTTGGTGGGCGTGGTGTGGCTTGGTAGGCGTGGCAGGGGAAAAAAGATACTGCAAAATCCCCATTGGGAGGGTGGTAGCCAGAGGTGGTATTTGCCGGTTCTCCAAACTGCTCAAAATTTCTGCTACCGGTTCTCTAGAACCTGTCAGAACCTGCTAGATTTCACCCTGTTCCATATTGTGCGGGGCCACCCCAGAGAAGATCTGCTTCCTGGTCCATATTTCAGCATGCTTGGTTGTGGAATTCTGGGATTTGAAGTCTAAAAGTAGCCAGGTTTGGAAACTCCTGACATAAAGCATTCTTCATTCCTCTTACAGGCCTAATCCCGATCACCTTCGCCCTCCGGACTACGACGATATGTTCATGTGACGACTGCCAAGATTCAGCGTCTCTTTCCCGGCAGACTGACGTCTGACGCTTATCCAGACGTGGGGCAGAGTTGGCCTTTCCTGCAGTGATTTTCTGTCCCGGCTCACCTGTTTTGATCCCACTCCTATAAAGCCAAAGAGAAAAGGGCACACAGTTTTTCTTTCAGCCTCTGGCCTTTTTCTCCCTCCCGACATTTTACATTCGCTCCATCCGGGACGCAAATTTGACGATCCACTGTTGTGTGCTCCGAGATCAGCGGTGTTTAAAAGTCTAGAAACTCTTTTCAAAAGCGGTGAGCAATGCCAGAACCTCCGGGGAAGGTTCTGTCTATATCAGGATGGTTTAACCTGGTTTAATCTCAAACCCAATTTGTAATGAAACATGGTAGAGCTACAGAAGGGTAGGTCAACTGCCAACATCTTCCTCATTTCCTGTTTTCAGATCCTTCCAATTTCTCGCGGAAACAAATGGTATGCCCGTACAGGGAGTTTTGTTACGTGCCGCCCCAAACTTTGGTGGCGGTGTGATCCAGTAAACTGGCCCCATTTTTCCTCACTTCCAGCCCCCTTAATTTTCCTCTCCCCTTGCCACAACATCATGGAGTGTGGAGAAACTGAAACGAAAACTTGGAGGTGCCCTGCAGAAAGAACGAGGAAATTTAACAACTAATGGGCGGTATTTGGGCCAAGGCTGCCAGCTGCCAACTGTTGCTTTGGGAAGTTGAGGCTTAGTCGAAGAGCTACTTTAGTGAGGATAAATCTCTGAGTCTACCCTCCCCCCCACTTCAAACACAACACAACCACACATGTCTACATCCCCAAAACTGGCTCAATTGAACTGGTTTTGCCAGTAGGAGACATTGCCACCTCGGTGCCCAATTCCACCTGGAAAGGCTTCCTGTCACCTCACCGGTGTCTCCATTACAGGTTGCAATTAGTTGTTGCCTTAACAAAAAAAAAAAAAAACACACAATAAAATGAACAACGAACCTCGGTCTGCAGTCTCTCAAAACAAATTTATTTACAAAGTTTTTTTGCTGCCCGTAGAAGTGGTGCGGTGGCCTAAAGGTGGAGCCCTCACCTCACAACCAGGAGGCTGTGAGTTCGATCTCAGGTAGAGGCAGATGTTTCTCTCTCTGGGCACAATGAGAATATATCTGCTGAACAAAACTCCGTACTGGGGACAGGGACGGCATCCGGCCAGTAAAACACTCAGCTCCATTCAGTTGCCCAGACTCCACCCCGGTGCAAGGGATTATGGGGTCGTTAAAAGAAGATGATGATTTGCTGCCCGTCTCTTATCCAGCGATTCCAGGCGGCTTACAACATAAAAGCATTAAAAACAACCATTGAAATCGTCAATCATAGAAACACAGCAGATAAAAACATGAACAAATAAAATCAGTACAGCTAGTCCTCAACTTACAACAGTTCGTTCGGCGACCCTTCAAAGTTACAACGGCACTGAAAAAAGTGACCCATGACCGTTTTTCACATTTAACGACCGTTGCAGCCTCACGTGATAAAAATTCAAACACTTGGTTCATACTTAACGACGATCGCAGTGTCTCGGAGTCACGTGATTCCCCTTTTGCGACCTGACAAGGAAAGTCCACGGGGAAGCCACTTTCACAACCACGTTACCAACTTAAGAACTGCAGCGATTCACTTTACAACCGTGGCAAGAAAGGTTGTAAAACGGGGCAAACGTCCCTTAACAAATGTCTCGCTTAGCAACGGAAATTTTAGGCTCAATTGTGGTCGTAAATCGAGGACTGCCTGTAATACCAGATGGCAGAGGAGGGAGCCGGACACGGGTGGGGTGTGGGGGGGAGGTAGGATAAAGTTTTAATGAGTCAACCACCTCTGGTATGGAACTGTCCCATTGGGTCCCCAAATTCTCCATCTTTCTTGCTGGAATTCTTGGGTTGCAAAAGCAGCTAATTCCCGTTTCCTAGCAACCATTTTGCAGCATCCCTCAGGTAGCTCCATCTTTCTGGTAATTGCTTGCTGACCATTAAAAAGCTGTTTAGTGTTTCCTAGTGGAGTGGCGTGCCCTGGACAGACGGGCAGTCCTCGACTTATGGCCACAATGGAGGGCAGAACTTACGTCAGAAATTTGTTGAGTGGGTTTTGCCCCATTTTACGACTTTTCTTTGCCAAGTGAATTGCCGCGGTTGTGAAGTTAGGAACATGGTCATTAAGTGAAATTTTGATCGTGTGACCGAAGGGACGCTGCAACGGTCATCGGTGTGAAAAATGGTCGTAAGTCGTTTTTTTTTTTCAGTACCGTTGTATCTTCAAACCGTTGTAAGTTGAAGGCTAACTGTACCAAACTGTCATTCAAAGTCTGCTGGTAAACGGCTTTCCCTGCAAAGGAAAATGCTGGCACTGGGTCGATATAAGAAGCTGGCAAAGTTGCATCCTGCCTGAGGAATTCTGGGAGTTGCAAGTCCACAAATGGCCAAGGTTGGACACCGCTGGTATAGGCAGTGGTGGGATTCAGCCGGTTCGGGCGAATCGGTAGTTAAATGGCTGGCTGGCCCCACCCCGCCCTTTCCAGAAGTCCCCACACGCCTGTTCTGCCCCGGCTACGGACCCCAAAGAACGCAGCACACACAAAGTCTGTACAAACCTAAGTTTACTAAATTAAATCAAGTCTTTTTCAAATGAAGGCTGTTAATTAACTTTCTTAACAGCCTACAAGAATCCAAAGAATAAATAATCGTAATCTTACTAGGGTTGGCAGAAAGCCCAGAAGCAATTTGCAGGAAGCTGATAAGAGAACTAAGATCAGGACGGGAAGGAGAGTGAACGAAGTTGTTCCCTACAAATTGCTTCAGTCGGCGTTCCTCCTTAAATAGGCTAAGGGAGTGGCCAATTAGCCCCAAGCCTCACTCTCGAGGAGACCTCCTCCTGAGGAGCCACTCCTGCCTTTGGGCAGCTCTGCGCGCCCGTGCATTGAGAAGAGGCTTCTCCTCTTCATCCTCTTCACTTAAAGGAGCCTCTGGAGGTTCTGAAGGCCCTGAATGAATCCCTGCTTCTGGCACCACATCTTCTCCAGCCTCTTCACTGTCCGACTCGAGTGCCAGCTGTACAGGCTGCTGGCGCAGCACCACACCAGCCTCCTCGCTGTCGGAATCAGCTCCTAGCTGCACAGGCCGCTGACGGGCCACAACAATGCCCCATTTTGGCTCCCAGGTAAGTGCAGGAAGGCTTCTTCGACCCAAAACAGGCGTGGGGGGCACATCCCCCCTGCGGCCCATTTTTGCTCCCATTTTACTCCCATTTTCACACCCCCTGGCCATGCCCACCCAGCTGGTCATTAGGGCAGAGAACCAGTTGTTAAATTATTTGAATCCCACCACTGGGTATAGGGCCGTGATGACGAACCTATGGCACACATGGCAGAGGTGGCACACACAGGCCTCTCTGTGGGCACACGCGCCATCACTAGCTGCTCTTCGTGGGCGGCGGAGTGCCAGAAAACGGCCTTAAAATGGCCTGGAAAACAGCCAAAAAATGGCCCAAAAAACAGCCAAAAAGCAGGCATGCATGCACCAGCCAGCTGGAATTCAGGTTTCCGGGGCTCCGGCACGCACGAAGACCAGGGGCTGGCATGCATGCAAGTTCCAGAAACCTGAAGATTAGTTGGCCGGCACAAGCGTGACACCAACCAGCTGGTGTTTGGGTTCCCAGCACTCCGGCACACGCATATTAATGCAATTTCCAGTTTGGGCACTCGGTGCCGAAAAGCTTCACCATCACTGGTATAGGGTCTCCTGTTTCAGCAGGGAGTTGGACTAGAAGACCTCCAAGGTCCCTTCGGACTCCGTTCTGTATTCTGTATGATACTTACCGGGGGTAACTTTCGACGGTCACTAAGCGAATTGTTGTACGTCGAAGGCTAATTGTACCGGATTCTCATTCAAGTCTGCTGGTGAACAGCTTTCCCAGCCTAATGCAGAGCTGAGCCTGGTGTTGGGTCGATAAAAATATATTTTTGCCGCTGTATCTCTTCCCTCTAATAGCCGAGTCTCTTCAAAGGGCTTTTAATCTGACTCGGAGTGAAAGCAAGTGAGGTGAGCTCCTCAGGGGGACGGACGGACGCTTTTGCCAAAGATGGCGCACAGCAGTCAGTGGGGGGATGCAAAGAGGGGGCGAAACTGGAAGGCCTTGGACAGGAATTGGTATCGGTTTATGAAACTCTAGTCAAGCCCCACCTGGAATCCTGCAACCAATTTTGGTCACCATACTACAAAAAAGAGGTTGAGAGTTTGGAAAAAGTTCAGAGAAGAGCAACTGAGCAGCCCAAAAGAAAGAGAGAGGGGGGGAGAAGAAGGAGGAGAAGAAAGAAAAAGAAAGAAAGAAAGAAAGAAAGAAAGAAAGAAAGAAAGAAAGAAAAAGAAAGAAAGAAAGAAAGAAAGAAAGAAAGAAAGAAAGAAAGAAAGAAAGAAAGAAAGAAAGAAAGAAAAGAAAGAGAGAGAAAGAAAGAAAGAAAGAAAGAAAAAGAAAGAAAGAAAGAAAGAAAGAAAGAAAGAAAAAAGAAAGAAAGAAAGAAAGAAAGAAAGAAAGAGCAGCAGCCAAAAAAGCTAACACAATTCTTGGTTGCATGAACAGAGGCATAGAATCAAAATCACGTGATGTGTTAGTACCGCTTTGTAAAACCTTAGTAAGGCCACACCTGGCATCCTGCATCCAGTTTTGGCCACCACACTACAAAAAAGAGGTTGAGAGTTTGGAAAAAGTTCAGAGAAGAGCAACTGAGCAGCCAAAAAGAAAAAGAGATGAGGGAAGAAGAAGGAGGAGAAGGAGGAAAAGAAAGAGAAAGAGAAAGAAAGAAGAGGGAAAGAAAGAAGAGAGAAAGAAAGAGAAAGAGAGCACGAGAGAGAGAGAAAGAAAGGAAGGAAGGAAGAAAGAAAGAAAGAAAGAAAGAAAGAAAGAAAGAAAGAAAGAAAGGAAAGAAAAGAGAGAGAGAGAGAAAGAAAGAAGAAAGAAAGAAAAAAAGAAAGAAAGAAAGAAAGAAAGAAAGAAAGAAAGAAAGAAAGAAAGAAAGAAAGAAAGAAAGAAAGAAAGAAAAAAGAGCAGCAGCCAAAAAAGCTAACACAATTCTTGGTTGTATAAACAGAGGCATAGAATCAAAATCAGGTGAAGTATTAATACCGCTTTATAAAGCCTTAGTAAGGGCCACACCTGGAATGCTGCATCCAGTTTTGGCCACCACACTACAAAAAAGAGGTTGAGAGTTTGGAAAGAGTTCAGAGAAGAGCAACTGAGAAGCCAAAAAGAAAAAGAGAGGGGGGAAGGAGAAGGAGGAGAAAAAGAAAGAAAGAAAGAAAGAAAGAAAGAAAGAAAGAAAGAAAGAAAAGAGAGAGAGAAAGAAAGAAAGACGAGAAAGAAAAAAAGAGAAAGAAAGAAAGGAAAGAGACAAAGAAAGAAAGAAAGAAAGGAAGGAAGGAAGGAAGGAAGGAAGGAAGGAAGGAAGGAAGGAAGAAGGAAGGAAGGAAGGAAGGAAGGGAGCAGCAGCCAAAAAAGCTAACACAATTCTTGTTTATATAAACAGGCATAGAATCAAAATCAGGTGAAGTATTAGCACCGCTTTGTAAAGCCTTAGTAAGGCCACACCTGGAATCCTGCGTCCAGTTTTGGACCCCACATTACCAAAAAAAAAGATGTTGAGACTTTGGAAAAAGTGCAGAGAAGAGCAACTAAGAGGATCAAAGGCCTGGAGGCTAAAACATATGAAGAACAGTTGCAGGAATTGGTTGTGTGTAAAGAAAAGAAGGACTGGAGAGGACATGATACCAGTCTTCCAGTATTTGAGGGGCTGCCCCAAAGAAGAGGGGGTCAAATTATTTTCCAAAGCCCCTGAGGGCAGGACAAGAAGCAATGGATGGAAAGGAATCAAGGAGAGAAGCAACCTGGAACTAAGGAGAAACTTCCTGACAGTGAGAACAATTAACCAGTGGAACAACTTGCCACCAGAAGTTCTG